GGGGAAGACCAAAAACTGTATAGTCAGCCTCTCTTTCAAAAGGGGGCTGTATTTGTGATGATGTAGCTGCAATCATCTGAAGCTCTTGGAGTTGAGTCTGCACCCTGTCAACAACAACCTTTGGATTGGGCACTGTTCCATTGAAAATTATATCATTATGATGTACCCAAATATTCCAAATTAGCAGAGCTGTAGTTGTCTTTAGTTCCTCCTTTCTGTCTTTTAGTTTATTACACAAAAGAAACCAACTCAAAAGCCAGTCCTTAAAGGAGGATGCAGAAGGGAGTGAGTGAACCCTCACCCCCAAAGGACTTCCAAACCAGCAAGCTTTGGCCAAGTCACAATCACAAAGGGAATGCAGTACCGTTTCTTCCCTCCTTGAACAGACAGGACAGATGGGATCAGGAAGGATCGTTTTCTCACTAGATATGCTTTGACAGCCACAGCATTAATGCTACTGTGCCAAAGGAAGTATTTTATTTTTGGGGCCATTTTCAGGTTCCAAATAGATGCCCAGAGAAGTTTGTAAGTTTGTCACGACTGTGTTGATTGCAAGTGGGTTTTGCTAGGCTTTTGGCTACAAAATATGCTGACTTTACTGAGAAAACTCATTTTTTGTCAAAAACCCAAGTTAGTCTTTCTTCCCAGTCAGTGAGAGGGGGTCTAATCTCAAGGATTCTTTTAGCCACTGGGGTAATAAAATTGTTTGTTATTAAGTCAACATTCCACTCTTTTCTATTAGGAAGGAACAAATCTCTGACTCTGAATAAATTTGAATTACAAGGCTTTGGACCCATAATTCGAAAACTTGGAATTCCTAGGATCCAAGGATCCTCCCATATTGCTATGTTCCTTCCTGTTTCTAAAGACCAGCACACCCCTTAATAATTTTCCTACCCACAAGTATACTTCTCCATCCCGACGAACCCGATTCAGGGAGTTTATCATTCAAGAAGGATCTATCTTTTATATACTCGGCCCTTATCACATTAGCCCACAAACTGTCCTCTCCATTAGCTAGCCTCCAAGCTAGCTTAGCCAGTAAAGCCTCATTGAAACAATTTGGGTCCCAGAACCCTAGACCACCAGCAAGTTTGTTTTGACTGAGGTTGCTCCAACTAATCCAGTTTACCCCTTTTTTCTCCTTACCTTTTCCCCACCAGAAATCCCTCTGAGATTTCTTTAATTTCTCACACCCCTAAAGGCAACTTAAAGCAAGACATGCTAAAAGCATTTAGAACAGCCTTGATAATCACCTCCTTTCCAGCTGGATTCAACCAATTGTTCTTCCAGCTTGAAGCTTTCTTCTATGATCTCAGAGTTAAGAATTCAAATATTCTAGATTTGGATTTACTAATATAGGATGGAAGCCCCAGATAAAAGGAGGGCTTCTCTGCTCTCTTGATATGCATACTCTTAGCTAGTAGCTTTTGAATCTTACAATGAACATTTTTGCTAAAAGTTGCTTCAGATTCACCTGTTGACCTGAAGCCTGCTCATAAGTTCTAATTGCCTCCATAATTCTTTGTTAATGGCTAGTTTTTGTAACATCTGCTAATAGGAAAGAAGGACAAGATACCCAAGAAGAACTGAAGAAGAGGAACCTCCGGGAGGAGCTAGAAGAGCATGAAAGAAAGCATTTTTCTTCAAAGGACAAGTCTTATATTGGTATTTGAAAATTCAAACGCCACATCCTTTGTGTTATTCTTTATAATGCTAATATTGTTTTCTCTAATTCCATTGAGTTGTTCACTTCTAGTTATATTTTAATTTTGCTCTATTTTTCCAGAATTTATTTCTATTTTAATCTTTGACCATATTTCGCAGAGAACAGAGATCGAAGAAAAGGAAGCCAGCTTCTCTTGGAAGGTTTTTTTTTTCTGTTATTTCGTTTGTTAAGTAAACCTTTGTATAGGTTTTGTAACCAACTTGACTAATTACAGTACACAATTGTGCAGGTACAAAGCGGGATACTGAAGACCGCATTGTTCCTCGCAATGTGGATGCTGATGATTCTGATTGTGATGTTAAAAGTGATGATGGAAGGTGGGGTTTTGTTTTCCTTTTACATTAAACAAATATTTTTCACAGAAACAGATAAAACTAACATCAATTAATTAATGCTTGCCACACGTTTGCTCCATTTATTGATTTCTGATGTATCTTTTATTTTTTGGAAAAGACTAACTATGATTGTTTGCAGTAAACATCAACGCAATCACCCTTTAATGCTATAATTTTCACATGCACTTTTTTTCAGGGTTCTAAAATCTTTGGTAAATTTTCTTTTCTTATAATATTTGTTGAAATGGTATGTATTGTGTTGCTAGTGATGAAGATGACGATGACGAGGATGACACAGAAGCTCTTCTGGCTGAGCTTGAAAGAATAAAGAAGGAGAGAGCTGAAGAGAAGCTTAGGATGGTTAGTTTCCTTGACCTCAGGGATTACCCATTTTGGTTTGCCTTTCTATAGGCTTGTCATATTTTGTTCCCTATGAATTTAACCCAAGTCTTTTGACAATTCTTGAGTATGCCCCCCCCCATTGGATAAAGACCTATATTTGATACATGGATCTGAATCTTGTGTATACATTATAAGTTATCTCTTCAAAATATATTATGATGTCATAAACAAACTAAAACTATTACCAGAAAAATATATGAACTAAAACTGTGATGCCCGTCTTCCTCAGGAACGACAAAAACAAGAAGAGGAGCTGAAAGCTAAAGAGGCAGAATTGATTCGAGGAAATCCTCTACTTAATGCAACTTCCTTCAATGTCAAAAGAAGGTGGGATGATGATGTGGTGTTTAAGAACCAGACTCGTGGAGAAACCAAGACGCCTAAGCGTTTCATCAATGACACCATCAGAAATGACTTTCATCGGAAATTCTTGCAGAAATACATGAAGTAGTTCCATAATCAAGTTAAAAGACGGAAATTGTAGACTCTAGATTTTGAACTTGAGAATCCTTTCGTAAGAAAAGCATTGTACTTGGTGTTGAAAAGTTGGAAACTGCTGCTTATTGTAGTCTGCAAGATTAAATGTTATTACGAGTTGAGTGGTGATTAACCATGTTCAGTTTCTTGTGCACAGTGGATGAAAAACTGGGAGGAATAGGTTTTGTCGGCCAGGCCCAATCCACCCTACCCTACCAAATTTTCCTTCCAATCTGTCCACATTGCTGCCTTAAAACCCCAACTACTGAATTGATCCTTTAGATTTGAGAAATAAACCTTCAAATCTGTTCATAATTTCAATGCTCTGGATATTTCTTCCTAAGGATCTACATAGAAAACCCCTTTATAAGAACAGACATTGTTTCCTACCCAACCGTGTAGAGTGCCAAGTGGATCATCTGTTATTGCAGATTTCCAAGTTTGAAGGACTGTGTAAGCGTTGCTTAGCCTGGAATTTGAAAACCCAAATGGGGTGCGAGGGTTGATTCCTCCACTAACCCAAACAGTTCCATCCCCGAACCCACTGCAGTTTTTGCTGGAATGATTGGGAGTTCTTGTTTGCAAGGCATACGGCTAGTGTTGAAACAATGAAGAAAGAAAATGGTGGGTTATGAAATCTGGATCCATGTTTCTTCTTGATTGATAAATGTGCAATCAACAGAAAAACATCAGCATAAGATCTAATTTAACAAATGGGCTGTTTGGCAAGTCGTTTTTTGAAAGATCTTCTGTAAGTTCTGACAATCAAAAGACAATGTGAGTTTTTACATCAAGATCTTAATAGTTTGAAAATCGTTTGGTTAAGGCACGTCTGTCTGCATGTCATTTTATGCGAAGATAAATTAAAAAAAAATGCAAAAATCTCCATTTGGAGTTTCTCAAAAATAGTCCAAAATGGGTTTTTTGCGTCTTTTTAGGATTGTGGCTTTTGGTGGCTAGATCTTTTCCCAACCAAAGCACGAAAAGACATGCCAAACAGGGCCTTGATATTAAAACTCACACGCGCACAAACATGGAGGGCATGTTTGGTCGACATGTAAACCCCACATTACGAATCATAATCCAAGTTCTGCAAGGAGCAAGAACTTTCTTTAGAGATAAGCAACCAATCACAACCTACAACTGCATAGGGAATTTATCAATTTATTGTTCATGGGTTCCGCCTAGACCTGTTCATGGGCCGGGCTGGGCTTTCACCTATTATCAACATAATATATTGAGGCCTGAGCCCGCCCTCATAAAACCCTGAGGCTCAAGCCCAAGCCCAAAGCTCGACATGAATTAGGAATGGGGAAAGTGTCGCTCTAGTTTTCGGAGAGAGAGAGAGAGAGCTGGAGTTATTGTGGTTGTCGGAGTGCCATTGTAGATGCTATCGGAGTTGTTGCGAGGGAGAAACCTAGAGTTGTTTGCAGTTGCCAGAATGCTATTGTAGATGTTGTCGGGGATGATGCGAGGGAGAAACTTGGAATTGTTTGTGGTTGCCGGATTACCACTATAGATGTTGTCAAAGTTGTTGTGGAATGGGGATTAGGGACGTTGCCTATGGTCTGAATAGATAGAGATCAGGGAGAACCAAAGAGACAGAAAATGAGACCTCTCCGCTCACTAGTTGCCAATCGCCGAAGAGATGATACTGTCCACCACTCACTAGTCACTAGTCGCTGGTCACTACTTGTGGAAGGAGATGATCCAATAGGTACCGCTGATGTTGATGTGGAAGAGAAGAAACCTTCAAGTTCTTGCAGGTTTGAATAGGATGAGAGGGAAAAGGAGAAGAATTAGGGTTAGGAAATAATATGTATATTATTATATTTTTGATAATATATATTATTAATTATTATATATATTAATATATATATATATATAATATTGTCGGGCCGGGCTTTTATGTGAAATCCCACGTCCGGCCCAAAATTGAGTCAGGCTTAGATAATAAGGCTTGGGCCCATGGGCCTAATAATGTTGTCCAAGCCTGACCGCAGTCGGGCCGGGCCATTAGGCTACCCAGCCCATGAACAAGTCTAGTTCCACTAGATAAGCTTTGAAAATATAGGGGGCAATTTATATTTGATGTCTTTATTTCCCCATAATTTTCATTTTTAAGCATTAAGCTCATGCTTGGTTCAACTCTCATTCTTATCCAAGATGAAATTCTAAAATGAACAAGAATGCGTAAAAATAAGTAGAATGAAAAAATATTGCTATGAATCAAACACTTATTTTCCTAAAAAATGAATTCTTTTCAAATTGACAAGTGCCCTTAGTTGCTCATTTTCATTCTTAAAAATAATTGTGTTGGCGGTCATAAACCGTCAGCCTAGGTCTCCAGAATTATAGATGTTTACTAGTGGATGGCCAGTAGTCAATGCCCGTTGGCATAAGTTTCCAAGGCAGTCCGCTAATAAACATTTATGGTGATAGTTTTATAAACCTAGGCTGGTGGTTTATGTCCACCGGTATAGAATCTCTTTAACAAATGAAAATGAAAAAGATAGGGCATGCTTATTTTTCATGTTACAAGCTATCTCAATTTTTGTGCTATGGATTGATTTTTCATTCTGAAGAGAATGAGACCCATAACAAAAATTTTGTAACCAAATACCTTATGTTATTCATTTTTATCTAGAACGAGCAAGAAGTAAAAATAAAAAATAAAAAAATGAAGCCCAAAGTGAACCAAACATGGCCTTAGACATTACAAATCCCCCAATAAAAGACATATAGCGTGCTAAAGCACAACCTTCTTTGTTGGGATTGTGAACAAAGACCATTAGAATTCCGCTAGGGAGTCCTTCGTTCTACCCTTCAATTTCTCATCACCAGACCAGACGAATCCTCTATTGGCACTCCAAAACTAATCAATCCTCATTTTTCCAATAACCCAAACATCATGTGAATCAAACATATATCATCAATCGAGTACTTGCATACCTATGTGAATGTGAGCCTCCACGTGCAAAGGATCTTCCCTGTAGTTGTTAATGATGAAATCCCTATGCTTCTTGTATATCTTGGGTGTTTTCAAGATGGAGATGCTGCCATCAAAGAACTCCTTCAGCGCCAGTTTCTCTCTAGGTGAACCAGGTTGAATAGCTTAGGATGGTATAAAGTATGGTTTTTAAAACCGGATCGGACTTGAAAATCGGGAACCGGTCAGGTGATCGGTTTCGGTTTTCCTCAAAATCGGAAATTTGTTCAAAACTGTTGCTTTTGGTCAGTAAACCGTTGACATGGGTGGTTAATCGTTCGAACGGTCTTGATCGCTTATTTTATTTTTGTTAGAACAGGCCGAATGTCCGAACGATCGTTCAACATTTATTAATTATACATTAAATATTTTTATTTTATTCAATGAGACCCACTTACAATTTATCAATTTTTATTGATTAGTATCATGTTAGCATTTCCTATTATAGTATCAATTATTTAATGAATTGTGAATGTTGTCACTTCACTAATATCGTGTGTTTTGGAGCTAATAATGGCCTTTTTTAAGTTTGAGGTCTAAATTGGCCCCTCCGATTGTACAACCACAAAAGTGGCCTTTTTACAAAGTACAGGAGTTAGAGCCAAAAATCCCTACAAAATGTATTATAATTAGCTTCAATGACTAGTGATATCACATATTAAGGGATTGAAAATTTGGAATCCACTATTAGATGCGGGAGACAAATTGGTTAGCAAGCTTATACATATCTTTAATGTCAATGTTTTAAAATACAACTTTGGATAGTAAGAGACTAGTGTTAGTATGGGATAACATTCAGGGTACTCTCATTGCTTTCTTTCTCTTACCAGCATGTACCTCCATGGGTTCCTATCTAAATGCTGATAGGTTCACTTAGTGAGCCACATGCTAAAGGTATATTTGTTCAATTAAAAAGTTTTTCAAAGAGTAATTAGTCAAATATATCCTTGAGATTTCATTAAACTACTTAAATGACACCATTTACATATAACATCATGTGTTTCTAAATTTTATTATATTGAAATTTTCATATTAGTATCCTGTACATTAGGGGCAGTGATAAGTTAGTACCCCAACTTCAAATCGTGTCATTGTAGTATCTAAACTTCTAAAAATTATCAATTTAATCCCTATCGTTAACAGTTTATGAATTATCTTATCACGTGATGACATGTACAACATAAAATTTTTGAAAATATCAAAACTACCCTTGAAAATAAAACATTGTTCATTGTTTTGTACCTTAAGATTGAGACATTGAGCAACAATGGGATTGACTTGATAAGAGAAGAGAATAAAGGATCGTGAATTGATGAATTTGAACCCATGAACACCAATGTGCATACGGTCGGACCCATCAACACTTAGACCCATGAAAACGTCTTTGTTGAAGCGAACCAGAGTAGACATAGCAAGAGACAATTGCTCTCGAATCTGCTTTGAACACTTGGAGTCGCAGAGAACACATTCAAGCTAGCTTCGAGAAAACCTTCAATTTAAGAAGCGAGTCCTGTAAATCTCTATTGAACACTTGGTCGTTGGAGATTGTCGACGAGGGTTTTGAGGTTGGAGAAATGAGAGGAGAGCCTTCACAGATTTGGATCGTTGGATAGGATGTTATCGGCCTCGGTTTCAAGCTCTAATAGAGATTTAATGGCAAACGCATCTTTTCCCAAGCTCGGCCTCTTCTTAAGACTATTTAAAGCTTGCTTCAGGGTTTCTAACACTTCCATCACTTGTTCGTTCTCTTTCTTACCAGTCTCTAATAATAAGCCCTGAGATAGAAAAAATGGAGGGAGGATTTCTTCGTTACAATCTCTAATAATAAGCCCAACAACAACCAGTCTTTCATATGGTGGGACCAAACCTTCAAGTGACTTCTGCTTCTTCTCCGTGTCGAAAGTGTAAATTGAACAGACCTCCCCACATCTTCTTCTTCTTCGGGTCAAAAGTGCGAATGACGCTAGAGGTCTTCTCCAACACGAAGAGTTTTCCCTTGGAGACGATGATCGAGAGCCAGGTGGTGGCGGCAAAGCCCATGAGGATGCCAGGCATGGATTGGTATTATCTCCCACTTGCGTGAATTGAGGTTGTACATCATTCTCAAACTCGGAGGTGCCACCGGCGGCGAATCGAAAGAAAATTAGATGATA